TATTTCCCGCTTTTTTTGATCACGTTTCCTCTGCGATTCTAGATCATCTTGATTTTTGTGATATAAACTATTGTGATGGTAGTGTTGAACTCCCTGGAATTCGTATGCCAATTTTAGCTCTTCATTATACCCGTCTAATTGCATCCCATTCAAAAATGATGGTTTACAAGATAGAAATTTCTTACCTAACAGATCTTCGAAAATATATCTGAATTTAAAGTATCATAAGATTATTAAAAATGCCAAGAAAATTAACTTTAGATGATGCAGTCAGATCAGCAGAAAAGCATGGTAGACAATGTCTCTCCATTCAATATACTAATAATAAAGATCCATTATTATGGCATTGCTTGAATAATCATGAATGGTATGCTCCTCTCCATCGCCTCAAAAATCATAATAAATGGTGTCCTACCTGTGGATATGATAAAAGGAGATTAGGTATTTTGACAGCTAAAGAGTTGGCACTAAGTAAAAATGGAAAATGTATTTCAGATTCTTATATCAATAATCAGACACCATTAATATGGGAATGTGAAAAATTACATCGATAGCAGACAACACTTAATGGTGTAAAAAATGGAGGTTACTGGTGTCGAAATTGTGCAGGTACCGAAAAACTTAATCTCGAAATTGCTAAAGAAGTTGCGATATCAAAGCGTGGACAATGTCTTTCAATGGAGTATATAAATATAGATAAACCACTTCTCTGGATTTGTCAATTTAATCATCAGTGGCACACGTCGCTTAATAAAGTCAAAAATAGTAATAGTTGGTGTCCATATTGTGCAGGTACAAAACGTCTTACTCTTGAAGAAGCTAAACAAATTGTGTATAGCAGGAATGGTGAGTGTCTTTCTGAGATATTTGTTAATATTCGTTCACCCTTATTGTGGAAATGTGCTAAAGGTCATAAATGGCATTCAACACTTAAAAATGTTAAAAATAGTAACACCTGGTGCCCATTTTGTCGCTTACATAAACGTGAAAAATTATGTCGTGAAATTGTATCTAAATACCTTGGGCCTCCGTCGGAAAATCGCTGGCCAGGTTTCTTGAAAACATCAAAATACCCAACAGATTTAGAACTCGATATTCCTTACTATTATTATGGTTTTGCTATTGAAGTACAAGGAGAACAACACGAAAAATATAATGAATTCTTCCATAAAGGAGATCCCAATAATTTTATTAGACAACAAGAACGAGATCAACTCAAAAAAGAATTATGCAAAGAAAATTGGATAGTTTTCGAGAAGTTTGGTATTATGAAGACCCATTCGAGAAAATTCCAGCTATCCTTTGAGAACTGGGTCTTATTCCTTAACTGTAATTATTCAATATCTGTATTTGGTAGATAACCTTTTTTGATCAATGTGGCGTAAATGTATGGAAGCAAATCACAATCATAAGGTATAACGATCAATGTAATACCTTCTCGCTTGCATATATCCTACTTTTTTTGATAGCGCTTCCTTTGATTATCTAGATCATCTTGATTTTTGTGATATAAACTATTGCGATGATAGTATTGGACCTCATTATATTTCTATGCCAATTTTAGCTCTTCATTGTATCCATCGAGTCATAATTTTTCCAAAAATGGGGCCGAAGATGGTGGAAATTTCTTACCTAATAAATTTTCGAATATATATCTTACACTTCTCTCGGTTGTGTGAGAACAAAGTGGACACTATTCAAATTTCATAGCTATTAATGGATATGGATATTCCCACTAATGCTTTCCATTTTCACAGGACCAGAGATATACATCGAAATCATTT